CCCCCCCCCCCCCCCCCCATAGATAGAAAAAAAAATCTATAGGATTTGAAAAATGGTCAAATGTCCTTGATCCAAAAAACCCCTCAAACATCTAGTACAGCATTCTAGGTGGTTGCCATTAATAATGTACAATGCTAACTGATCTACTGGTTGTCACAGCTAGAAATTTATTTAAAAGTTTTAACACACTGGTATCATACGCTGAATATGATTAGTCTAGCACCTACATGATAAAACCAAATATTTAATTTAATAGAATATTTATATAAAATAAAACTATTTGTTGTACTGAAACTACCAAGAACTTGAGTCTTCCTTTTGTCGTCTTTTTTTTTTTCTTTCTTTAAAAACTCAAAAGGTGTGAGAGAACTAAAAGTTAACGTTACCTGTGTTGCTCATGTAGCGATTCTACTTTGGTAAGAAAATCTTTGTTCTGCTCTGGTATAAAGTTGTAATTTGACAGATATCCTGAATGATGTACTGAAGCATTATAGTCTCCAAGTTGTGCTGTTAGGAAACAAGGAACACATACACAAAGTTTTCACAGTTAATTGATAATTATTTAGAAGTAATTCCTTCTCCTCAATAAACACATACACATATGGGGAAATGCAGGAATTATGAATTATTTCCCAACAGACAAGCAGTGTTGAACACAAGGAATTGTATAACATCAGTGAAAAAAGATTTTTTTCAGAACACGCTTACCATAACTATAATCTCAGGCACTGAATGACTCAGTACTTTAGTTTTTGCATCACAAGCTATAACACTACCAGACAGGCATTACACGCCACGTCTGCACAAATGTGCAGTACTGGAACATTAGAGAAAACCAGATTGCTTCAGTAAGAGACAGCAAATGAAATCAATTTGATATACATTTACTTGACTATAACATATTAGAAGTCTTCAACAAGATCTGTCACTTAGAAAGCATCTACTCTTCACAGTCAGGCAAAAATTGTTCAAACCAACTGTGGCTCTGTCCTAACAAATCAATTGTTAATCTTGTTAATCTTGCCTTAGCTGAACAGGAGTTACTTAACAATGCATGAGAATTAACTGCCAATTTAAACATAACATTACTAAGCTGCTACCAAAAGTAAATATATCTTTACAGCCAAATAAACTACAAGTTCCCTAAAACTTCATCCCTTCAAAAATGATACTAATTAGTAGATATTTTTAATTAGTTACTAGAGAAAAGCTAATTCTTATCCACAGTTGGTGATATATCTGAAAACAAATGAAAGTATAAGTAACCATAAGTTTATAGCCTCAGTCTATGCAAGTTTTCTTTAAAAGCTAGGCCAGCATAAGTTTCTATCCTGGAAGACATACATAAACTTTTAGTTGTTATAAAGATGCAAGGTTTGGGGCAGCAGGGCAGTTGCTTCAGATAAAGTACTTGCCTATTTGCCACAAATTTACCTAGTTTTAATTAAGCAAGTAATTCTAACCCCATATTTCATGAAATCTGTCTTTTCATTAAATTGTTGAAGAGATTAAACCCCTCAAACGATGGTACATTTCAACAAATCACTAGAACCTGTACTAATCTGCTCTTTCACTAGGGAGCATGAAACAGTTGTTATAAAGCATTAGAGCTTCCCAGAAATTATTGGTATGACTTGTAAATTGACACAAAAGAAAGTACTTGTATAGACTGCAAACAATTCAGCATAGAAAGCCTCTCAACTAAATCAAAGTTAAAGAGCATACTTTTAGGAACAATACTATTACCATTATTTTCCAGAAAATGCAAAGTATAAAAGAGTGATTTAAATGATTCAGGTTGGGGGCGGGCGGAAGTTGTGGACTTCAGAAATAACTTACAGCTACAGTAACTGTGGAGTGTCTGTAATGCAGGGGATGACTAATATTTGCCATTTCCATATTCAAAAAGCATAATTTCTACGGCTTAGAAAATAGAACCATTGTGATACAAAACAATTCCCAGGCAAACGCAGTCAGAAGCTAATACAGTTGCACACCTAATTGTCAGCATCCAGGGAAATATTTAAATAAAAGAGAAAGTGGAGTGATAAACACTAAGTAATCTATTTTGAATGCAGATGTTCCTGCAATGCTTAGCCCTTTGTTTTTAAAGGTAGCCTGAATTTTCAATCAGTTCACAAAATGACTGGCAAAAGACCAAATATTTACCATTACAATCAAAACATGTATTTGAACACTTCTGTCAAATAATATATCTCTGAAGGAGAAAACAAAACAAAAAAAAAATCAAAACAGAAGATCCAGAAGTATAACAAGAAACTGAAAAAATTTTTAGGAATATCTGTGTATTAGCAAAAGTCCAAGTCTCTGCCAAGACTAAGGCAATAACAATAAAAACAAGAAGTAAAGACTTTTTGAACAAAGTATGTATGTTAATGACAGCATAAAGATAAAACACAAATTCACAAATGACAGAAGTTGACTGAAGACTTTTTCCTTTATTAGCTGTCAACACAACCCATCTTTTCTATGAAACATTGTCTAGATTTTAAAGGCTTGTGGCAGCTAGCTTGAATTACATTCTTGTCAATAGGAAGAGACCAGATTGCCAGGAATAAGATAATGTAATTGTCCAATTTCATTTGCATTAGGTGAAAATATTGTTTACTGTAGTTTTACCTTCTCTAAAGAGGGCAACTGCTGTTCCTTCATGCATTATGAGGTAGAGTCTTCTTGCACATCTTCCAAAAATGGAGGTTGCTCTGGTCTTTTTTCCTCTTCCTCCTAGCTACCTGAGGTCATGTCAACAAGGGGAGCAGTTTAGAGTACTATTTGCTTTTCCAACTCCCCAGCCAACTGTCACAGTTGAAGAGAAACTATAAATGCCGATTAGTAGATATCTTGGAAGACTAATGATCTTGTGCAGGATTTAGTTATCCAAGTAGGAAAAAAAAAAGTTAGGGCATATCAAGATCTCAGTAAGAACAAAAACCCATGAGGTTTCTACCTCTTTACTGGATTTCTTCAGAACAGAGCAGAAGGGCAGGAAATATTAAAGATCTATTTCTAATCTGAGTTTCTCCTGACATAGCTTCTGCTCTGATCACGAGCCAGCAGATACTGACTCAATGAGGAAAAAGTTACAGTATAAAAAAAAGCATATTTTTATCTTTCTCCATTCTAGCCAAGAATTTGCTCTTTAATTTATTATAACTGGGAAAGAATACAGAGTAAAATGAAAGAAAATGGAATGGAGGGAATGGAGGAGGGGTTGGGGAAAAAAAATCAGTTATTTGAATAACAGATTCTTGTATTTTAGTGATCTGTATCTAATATGAAAGACTTTAAAGAAGGGAATGTAATGGATTCATTTAGAAGGCTATATTCAATAAAAAGAGGACATTTATTTTATAACTCTTACTAAAAGGACAGTGCACTAGCCAAGTAGCCACAGAATAATTTTCTATGGATGAACTCCCATGTTGACATACCAAAACAGTAGTTGTACAAGCTCTCAATACAGTAAGAATTTATAATTGCTTGAAACCCAAATGAAAATCTTGAGATCATATATGTTTACAGAGGATATGAACCGCCTATGCCTTATTGAAGCTTAAACAAGCCATCTTTTCTTCAGACTTCGTAAAAAGAATTGGTTCAGTTAGAATGATGTGGTGGGTATATATTTTTTTCTCTTTCTCCTGGCAGCAGAAAGACTTTTGTGCGGGAAAGCATCAAAGAAAAGGACTAACTAAAACGAAGGAAAAAAAAAAGTACACAATTTTGTAAGATTTGGATACAGAGGAAGGGAAGACCAGGAACAAGTGAATTTATGTAGCACTGATAGATTTCAATAGAGATTCTATGGGTACACATGCATCTTCCCTGGAAAGAGAAACTCAAGTACCAGATATATTGCTGCATTAAGGG